GATCCCATGAGTTCAAGACCAGTTGAGCCAACAGTAAGACCAATCTCAAAAAAAAAAAAAAAAAAAAAAAAAAAAAAAAATCCCTAAAATACCACCATAAAGCCCACATCCAAATATATATATACACACATAGATTAAAAAGGTCTTAAAGATAAAATATTCAAATATTAATAGTAGTTATCTCTATATAAAGGAGTAACAGGTAATTTTCTATAACAAATATGTATTTCTTGTGCAATTCAGAATATCATATATGTTACAACATGAAAAATTACAAAAAAAAAAAAAAAAAGGGTGACTGTGTGCTAAGTGGTTTCTTACCTAACTGCAATGTAGCAGCCAGCAGGGCATGGATATAGACTGCAAACTGGGCCCGGATCCATTCGTCACCTCCCTCCCAGCCAGTGCCATCCAGGAAGACGTCATCTCGGTTTTCAGTCACGTGCTTCACCAGGTAATCAGCAAATCTTAGGTCTGCAGTGGTTGGGTTAAGTAGCTTCCTGAGTTCTGGATCATGGATTTGGATCAGAGCTTCTTCTACCTACAGGATGCCCAGGTATAAGTCAGAATCTGGGCATTCATGCAGATATTCGTGCCACACTTAAAAAACTACTGGGAAGTTGGAACTAGAAATAAAAATATATGAATAATAGCATTCTCAATTGGTGACTCTAAAAATGTGCCAGGTTTTTATACTGGAGCTTTTTTCTTTTTGTGTTTAAAAATACTCATTTTCTGTTTTTAGGAAATACATGCATAAATATACTATACTGAATTATAAAAGTAATTCATGTTGTTTCTAAATATTTTTGAATAATAGAGATACCTATATAATAAAATTACCTTTATTTCACTATAGAAATGAACTTAAGTATAATTCCTCAAAAGTCTTCCTTTTAAGTGCATACTTCAGAATATCTTTTATTATGTAATACTTGATATAAAAAGAAGTTTTTGTGTAACTTATACATTGGTTTTCTTTTTTRAAAAAATATTTATTATTTTTTAGTTGTAGTTGGACAAAATACCTTTATTTCACTTATTTATTTTTATGTGGTGCTGAGGCCCCAGGGTCTCGCACTTGCGAGGTGGGCGCTCTACCATTGAGCCACAACCCCAGCCCCTACATTGGTTTTCAAATAGAAATAATAAAACAAATAATCAAGAAGCTGCCAACCAACTTCTGTACTACAATATAACCAACAATGCTGAAGCAACTCTGGTCCTCCTGTCCATATCCAATGGTCTTGGACAGTGTACAACTTTGTTTCCTTTCCAAATTTGGGATCATAATAAATATGATTTCAATCATGGCTTTTTCAAGTATTATTGTTGTTCTCCCATGAAGCAAGTAGTTTCCATCATTAACTCCAAAAACTTTTAACGTGTCTAAAATTTCTTTTCCTTAAAATTACTTCAATTGTAAAGTTAAAAAAAGATTTAAATTTTATATACTGATAAAATGTCAAATCTCTATTCTTAACTTTAAAAAATATTTATTTTTTAGTTGTAGCTGGACACAATATTTTATTTATTTATTTTTATGCAGTGCTGAGGATAGAACCCAGGGATTCGCACATGCTAGGCAAGCACTCTACCGCTGAGCCTTAACCTCAGCCCCCTTAACTTTCTTTTTAGAATCAAGAGCATATTAATAAGGCTAGAAAGGTTTAAATTATTTGAACAATAAACACATTTTAGTCATAGATCCAAAATGCTTAGGTTGGAATCCTGACTTGATCACTTATTAGCTGTTTGACACCTGCAAGACACTTATCTTTCAGTTCCTCAGCTCATGCAAGTGTAATCCATAGACAGTAACAACACCTATATCTCACAGAGTAGTTTTGTAATATAATTAGATCAGTTAACAGCAAGTGCCTAGGATGCCTGGCATACAGTAAGCAATCACTATCTTTACTAGTGTTGTTGTTATACCTTTAAAATTACGTTTAAGAAAGGAACAAAGGGATCAGTAGGCCAAGTATACCCACTTAGATATACAACGTACTTCCACAATGGCATCACTGAGGTGTTTTTGTTGTCGAAAAAGGATGTTAGTAGCTCCAGCAACAAATCCCCGAACGGTGACATCAGAGAGAAGATGATGCTGCTGCAATGCCATGTAGGGCAAGCACAGATATCCCTGTGGATCATAAGAGTAATAGGAAATATCAGAAAAATAAAGAACAGCTGCCTTTCTTTTCAAGCTAACAGCAGGAAAGCTAACAGTAAAAGAAATGCCTATTGCTCCCTGCCTGTCTCTATWTCTGCTAACCTTTGACTCACTAAAATAATATTCCAGGGGAATCTTCACTCTTGACTGCAATATATCCAGTTACTGATTAGCTAATCTTCTTCATGAGGGGTTAAATATTGGCAAGGTGGTTAACATGAAGGTTGTCTTACTTGATCACTTTGTTCCTGGTTCAATTTAAAAGCCTCTCTAGTAATTAACAAATTGAATTTTATAATTCAGGAAATGAAGTACTAAGCCCATTAAAAAAGTATGTTGTTTAATAGAAAGCTGTTAGAAATTTAAAAATACATGTATCTGCATGTAAACACTGAGTACTATTACAAGAATACCACATTATTTTATTATCCTATTAAAATCATGCAGGACTGGAGCTGGGGCTCAGTGGTAGAGTGCCTGTCTAGTAACAGGAGGGCCTGGGTTTGATTCCCAGAACCAGCCCCCTTCCCCAAAAAAATCATGCAAAAATGTAAAAATACTTGCTGCTATTTAAAGCAAAAATGACACTGGCAGTAGTTGTGTATTTAACTGGCTTCCATTTGAATTGTATTTGAAATAGCACTTCTTTGATAATTACAGTTCAATTGCTAAACTTTAAATAGGCATTAAGTATACGAAAAACAAATAAGACCCCATACTTCCTGAGAATAAAGGTACGAACACTGGAATGACTGACTGAAGAAGGATATGAAATTTCTGCTTAATGATTCTAAACAGAATAGTTTTCAACATGTGGTTTCACTTGTGCATGAAGCCAGGAGGACAGACTTGTTGAGCCCATGAAGTTGTTTTCAGTCTCAAGTTCTGTAAGTTTTCTACCTCTCATCACTTTTTAAACACTAAATTAGTTATTTGGGTGATATGCCAGATATAACTTGATTGTACCATGAAACAAATCTAAAGAGAGGAGATACATCTTTTATAACTTCATATTCTTCACTACATCTGTATCTGACAGATGGTTGTTAAGCAGTTACTATGGGAGAGAAGAGTTCCAGAAGTTGGAATATAGGCCTAATGACTTGGTTTTATTCTTATTCTTGACAATGTCTTTGATGCTCAATAAAACCCTAACTATACAACCAGCAAAACAGATCAATGTCTATGTATAGAGATGTTTATAATGCTTCTCAATCCAGATCTGTTGGGACTGAAGGCTGAAAGGACCTGTGCCCTCATTCAGAACCACTCAGCCAAAATAGGTGGTTTGGGGCTCATGCTTCATGCTTGAGCTGTGTGCCGTGCATTTAAAAGAAATGGTACCTCCTACCCCCACAAATGCCTATTTCCAAACAAAACCTCTACAATACTGAATGTTCCTTACACTTGATGTGATCCCTACAGAATACCTGCTTCCCAGTTAGGACTGAGACTCTTGATAAAGGTACTCTCAGAACTGTCAATTATCACCAAAGATTTACACAGCAAAATAGCAGTAAGAGAACTTACATTTCATAATCAATTCTGTTAGGGAAGAAAGGTCTATTATCAACAGTGGGATTCTTGGCTAAGTCAATAACAGTATCAAAACTAAGAAGTAGGTTTTTATTTTTTCTTCTTTAAATAGGCAGTTGGAGATATAGTTCAATGGGAGAACAGTTGCTTTGCATGGGTTTGATCCCTAGCACCACAAAAAAGAGGAAAAAAAGGAGTTATAAGCTTTTAAAAAATGTATTTCAAAAACATTCTTTAGATGGGCATGGTGGTAGATGCCTGTGATCTTAATGACTTGGGAGGCTGAGGCAGGAGGATTATAAATTCAAGGCCAGGCTGGGCAACTKAGTGATATCCTGAAAAAACAAACAAAAGCACCCCCAAAACCAAAAACAACAAAAACTTTTAAAAATAATAAATATATAAACCCTTTGGCCCAGCGTTCTGCCTCCTGTAATTTATTCTACAGATAAACCTACTCATGTGTGGTATTCCATTTATGAAGTTACTGTGACATTATATAAACACATAGGAATCCTAACTGTTCAAGAATAAAGGACTAAAATAAATGTTCAGCCATATAGAGAAACACACTGCAGCCATAGAAAGTGATGAAGTTCATCTTTAAGGAATATCATGCAAAGGAAATTAAAGCGCAGAAAAACAGTCATAGTCAGTTAACACTTGGTAAAAAGGGAGGAGATAAATCTATGCATTGTTTTTTTTTTGAACCCAGAGGCCCATGCATGCCCAGTCCTTGAGCACTCACTGAGCTACATCTCCAGCCCCACTGCAGTTAAATTTTTTTTTTATTCGAGACAGGGACTTGCTAAGTTGTCCAGGCTGGCCTCAAACTTGTAATCCTTCTGTCTCAGTCTCCTGAGTAGCTGGGATTATAGGCTGTGCCACTGTGCCTACTTCTATGCATTTCTTTATGCATAAAATATCTCCAGAAGGAGATGTAAGACAATGATACCATTGACTACTATTGTAAAGGGCAGCTGGATAGCAGGAATGAAATGGAAGGAAGACTTCTTAAAAAATCCTTTTTATTTTCTTTTTGATGCTGGTGATTCAATCCAGGGCCTAGTGCGTGCTTAACACACTCTTCTCCTGGGCGATACCCCAGCCTATAGAGACTTTATTATAGATGCTTTGAAATCTTTAACTACTGAACTATGTGGGAGTATTACATATTTATCACATTGTTTAAAATGATATTTTGAAGCAGTTTTAAAATTGTGCCATTACTTTTAATGATGATCAATTCAGTGTAAATCTTAGAAACCTTAATGTATGGTGGTAGCAAAAGTGCAGTTCCTTTTACATAAAGCAGCCTCCATATCCAAGCCCACTCCTGGTTTCCTACTTTTTAAGGACACTTTAACTTCCATATGTGAAACTGCAGTATAAAATAGTAAAAACAAAACAAAAAACACTAAGAAAATCACCAAGCAAACATCACTAAGATAAAAAGTCACCATGTACACATCACTGAGCTATTTACATATCTATGTTCACAGCAGCATTATTCACAACAGGCAAGAGGTAGAAGCAATCTAACTATCCGTTGATGAATGAACAAATGAATAAAGAAAGTCAGGCATATTTATACCATGGAATATTATTCAGCCTTAAATAGGAAGGAAGTCCTATCACATTCTTCAACATGGATGAATCTTGAGGAGGTTAAGCTAAGTGCAATAAGCCAGTCACAAGTAGACAAATACTGTATGATTCTACTTATATGAGGGAGCTAAAGATGTCAAATTCATAGAAATTTAAAGAATGGTAGATGTCAGGGACTGGGAGGAATAGAAAATGGAGAGTTATTTAATGGGCACAGTTTCAGTTTTATAAGATAAAATTTTGGAAATCTGTAGCACAAAAATGTGAATACAGTTAATTTTACTGAATAACTATATACTTAAAATTAGTAAAGATGGTAAATCTGATTTTTTTTTAACTACAATTGAGCAACAAAGTAAAAAACACATTTCAATTTAGTAACTCTGGTGGCACTAAGAGTTCATCTAAAGAGCTGGGAAAGCAWACTGTGCTTTTTTTTTTTAAGAATATTTTTTGGGGCTGGGGATGTGGTTCAAGCGGTAGTGCGCTCGCCTGGCGTGCGTGCGGCCTGGGTTCGATCCTCAGCACCACATACAAACAAAGATGTTGTGTCCGCCAAAATACTAAAAAATAAATATTAAAAAAATTCTCTCTCTCTCTAAAAAAAAAAAAGAATATTTTTTAGTTATTTTGTACCTTGATTTGATTCAYTTATTTATATGCGGTGCTGAGGATTGAACCCAGTGCCTCACACGTATGGGGCAGGTGCTCTACCACTGAGCCACAACTCCAGCCCCACAATGTGATTTTTTCATGCGACATGGAAAAAGTAAAGATATGACTGGAAATAACAGCTGTTTTCTCATCTTTTCTCTTGTTAGGGTCAGTAAGCATGTTCATGAACTAGAAACTTCCATACTGTAAAGATTCCAATTCTCTCCAAAATTATCTACCGAAAATCTCAATCTACATGAGTGAGGATTCAGTAAGTCGATTCTAAAACTGTTGTGGAAATGTAAAGGGCAAGAAACACTTGAAGAACAATGCTATGACAGGAAGACTTTTCTTTACCAAAATGATTCACATGGTAATAGCACAATGTGAGGACTGGTACAGGATAGACAAATGCCTCAACAAACAGCAACAAGAGTCCAGAAACTGACTCCCTTCCCTACTATACAAAAAGATCAATTTCAGGTAGCCCAAAAGATAAAATTCAAAATTATAATGCTTTTAAAAAAATAATATAGGAAAACGTTTTTATGACCTTGAGGTAGTAGAGAATTTCTAAATAAGACTCCTAAAGCACTAACCAAAGTAAAAAATTAATAGAAAAGATATTTAGATATATGAAGAAGTTCCACAAATCAGTGACAATAAGGGAGACAATCCAGAAGGTTTGAATCAATACTGCGCAGAGTGAAACCAAGTGGCCAAAAGTTCATGAAAATAATGATTACTGAAAAATGCAAACCACCACAGTTGGCCTCTCTTTTGAAGTGGCATCTTGTTACATTGCCCAGGCTGTTCTTGAGCTCCTGGGCTCAAGTACTCCACCTGCCTCAGCCTCCTGAGAAACTGGGACTACAGGCTATAATTTTAGTATTTTAATATATATTACATGCAGTCAAGACTGGATTTCCTCAATTCATCCTTTTAAAAAAAGAAATCTGAATAATTAAAAACAAACCCAAGTCAGGTGCAGTGGCATATGCCTGTAATCCCAGCAGCTCAGGGGGCTGAGGCAGGAGGATTGAGTGTTCAAAGCCAGCCTCAGCAAAGGCAAGGAGCTAAGCAACTCAGTGAGACCCTGCCTCCAAATAAAATACAAAATAGGGCTGGGGATGTGGCTCAGTGGTCAAGTGCCCCTGCGTTCAATCCTTGGTGTCCCCCCTACCAAAAAGAAAAAAACAATWAAAAAAAMCCCCAATATCCAATACATTCAGTGATTTCTAACTCCATATCTATTAAGTTTCAAACTCTTATTAATTAAAATCCTCTGAGTTATTTCCCTATTGCTTTATACTATGGTCACAGAACATCATAGCGCTATATATTTAGTGTGTATTTTACAATTTTCAAGGACAGTTTTCAGATCTGAAAATGTATCCGATACTGAAAGTTAAATATTAATGTCTTTATTACTAGACATTACACTTTACCTTTGTGAAGATGGCCAGGGGCATGCCATACAGGTCCTCTTCCAAACCTGAAATAAGCCCTGGTATCAGGACCACCTGCCCCATATTGGCTTGAGGTTGTACAGTAATTGGAGTACTATTTGAGGGCACAGAGTCTTTTGGAAATAAGTTTGTCTGGTTTGACCCCACCAGTTCCCTTTCTTTCAGGTTGGGATCCTCTAAGACACTAGGATCCAAGGTCTCCCAGTCACTTTCTGAAGATTCTGGAGATGGACGAGATGGAGGTTTCAAATATTGATTAGTATCACTGGGTTCCTGTCCTTTACTGCTGTCATGTTCTAGTTGGAAAAAAGGCTTTTCAGTCTTGATGGAAGCATCTCCTCCATGGTTTCCTGCTATGATTTTCTTGTCAGTTCCCAAATTGGTATTTGACATGTTAGAAGCTGACCCAGAAACAAAATCATCTGCAGGAGGATTACTTTCCTGAAGACCAGCATCTTCAGACATACTCTTCCGGGGCCTGTACTGAGAACAGTCACTGAGACCATGTTCAATCATGCCTAAAATACATAATATTGGAGAACAGCTTGGCTTATAATAAAATGAGAGAAAATAAGAATTGTATATTCTGTTTTATTTAGTGAAAGTCTCCTATTAAAAAAAATTTTAAAGCTATGTTTACATACATTTTAATAAATAAAAAAGAAAAGAAAGAAAACCCAGAACTCCCTTAATCTATGCCAAAAGGAAAATGCCATGTTAAAACAGAAATATTAGGGCTGGGGATGTAGCTCAGTGGTAGCATGCTTGCCTAGCATGTACTAGGTCCTCAGTAGTGCAAAAACAAAACAAAACAAAATGTTAAACAAAGGATAGAGTARATACTACCATCCTCTTACCTGGAAAAAGGGACAACACAGTCATCAGTGCACCCACCAATTTATTCACTGGAGAAATATAAAAAAGAACCTGAAATGGATTCAATCAAAATAAATTAGAAAATCCACCATAATATTAAAAAAGGGGAAGAGCAGCAATTAATAAATGTATAAGCAATGATAGAAAATCACCATTTAGCGTCCATCATGATTTGAGTAAAAATTGCCAAAGACACTAAAACTACTGTGAAAGATTGTTGAACAACAGGGATACTCACAATGCATTATTCTACAAATTACATAYTGATAACATGTTAACCGCCACCTTAACCAAAATTGACATCACCAGAAATAGTACAAGCAGTTATGAGCCTTTGATGTCATATCCTGAGAATATACCACCACCTCTGAAGCATTCTTACCAAAAAGTTAAATTTGAAACTAGCCACAAGAAAACAGAAACTAAACACTACAAGACTAGTCTGGATTTTTTAAACAGTGCGAATGTCATGAGAAACAAAATGAAACTAACAAAAAAAGAGAGATGGTGGAACTGTTTGAAATTAGAAGGAGTGAGCAATGCAATAATACATAATCCTTGATTGGATCCCCTACAAAAATCAACTATTAGCTATGGATTTTTTTAATCTCTAACAAAATATAAATTATTTATTGTGACACAAGTGTAAATTCTAGCTAACAGTTTAGTCTTATGTCCATGAGGTTATATTCACATAGGAGAAAAGTTCAGTCATTCTTTTTATTTTTAGTTTTTGGTACTGGGGATTGAACCCAGGAGCACTTAACCAGTGAGCAACATTCCCAGTTCTTTGTATTTTGAGATAGGGTCTCATAGAGTTGTGTAGGGCCTCCCTAAGTTGATAAGGCTGGCTCTGAACTTGCATTGCTCCTGCCTCAGTCTCCCTAGCTGCTAGGATTACAGGTATGTGCCATAACGCCTGGCTAAAACTGCAATTTTTATAAAAATACATATTACTAAGAGATTGATGGGATAAGTCTAGTCAAGAGAGGTCTGAGAAACAAAAACAAACACTAAGGTACAATAGAGACAAAATTTAGAGATTAACACCAGAGGGTTGTGTAACCTCAGAATTCATTTTCTATTTAAAATTAGAATCCATTCTGCAAAGTCCTTAATATCTATCTTCTAACACCTCCAGTGATAAGAAATTCTCTAGTCACAAAGTACACTTCAAACATATAAAGTATTTCTAGAAAAATMCAATTAAAATTTTGAGGAACCAGGAAAAAAACAGCTATAAAGGAATTATGACATCTGGGAAAATTTGAAAATGGACTGTTTACTAGATGTTATTTATTGGGTCATGTGAAATTTCTCAAAAGTGATATTGGTATTTTGGTTATGCAGGAATATTCCCTTATTTGCAGTATCATAATGTCTACAAAATTTCTTTCAAAGTTTCATGATTCAGCTGGGCGCAGTGGCCCACGCCTGTAATCCCAGTGGCTCAGGAGGCTGAGACGAGGATCGTGAGTTCAAAGCCAGCCTCAGCAAAAATGAGATGCTAAGTAATTCATTTAGACCCTGTCTCTAAATAAAATATAAAATTTTTSGTTGAGTGTCCCTGAGTTCAATCCCCAATAATCCCCCCTCAAAAAGTATCATAATTCAGGGGAAAAATGAAATGAACATGTATAAAGCAATATAATGTGAAAGTATCAAATTGTAAATACAGATCAAGGGTAAAAAGGTATTATATTATCTTAACAACTTTTAGTAGGTTTATCATTTTTCAGAATAAAATTTGAGAAAAAATTAAATTAGAAACAGGATTCAGTTAGAGACTACACCTGAACTAATACCGGCTAATGCTAAATGACTTGGTAAACAAGCAAAGATTTGCTTATGTTTAAAAAAGAAATCACAGAGGGCTGGGGATGTGGCTCAAGGGGTAGCACGCTCGCCTGGCATGCGTGTGGCCCAGGTTCGATCCTCAGCACCATAATCAAACAAAGATGTTGTGTCTGCCGAAAAATTAAAAAAAAAAAAAAAAAAATTCTCTCTCTCCTCTCTCTTATAAAAAAAAAAAAAAAAAAAGAAATCACAGGCTCGGGGGTGTAGCTGAGTGGCCAATGCATGCTTAGAATGAGAAAGGCTCTGGGTTTAATCCCCAGCACAAACAAAAGAAAAGAAAGAACAAAATTAAGTTATATATTAATAGATTCTTTTGTAATTTAAAACACAAATTCAGAAAAGCCCAGAATCAAGGCATAAATTTTAAAGTACTCTTTATTTTTTAACCTTCATTTTATTTATTTATTTTTATTTAGTGCTGAGACTCGAACCCAGCGCCTCACACGTGCTAGGTGAGTGCTCTACAGCTGAGCCACAACCCCAGCCCTAAAGTAATCTTATAATAGGAAAATCTTTCAAAAGTAAATGGATACACTCACTCTTTAGCTCTATAGATATTTGATTAAATGTCTGCCTGCCTGTTAAAGAACAGTAACAACTACACATTGAATAATGTACTTTTGTTGTAAATGGATAAACATTTATAGTATAGCTACACGGAATATTATTCAGTCTTAAAGGGAAAGAAAATTCTGACACGTGCTACAATATGCATGAACTTCAAGGGCATTACGCTAAGTGAAATAAACTCAGTTATAAAAAGACAAAATACTGGGTTTGGGATGTAGCTCAACATTACAGCACTTGCCTATCATGCATGAGATCTTGAGTTTCATCTTTAGCACTCCACACTCCATGTACACTCAGACAACAAGTATTGTATAATTCCATTTATATGAGGAACCTAGAGTAGTTAGATTCAGAAACAGAGGGTAAAATGGTGGTTGCCAATAGAGAGGGAAAGGAAGAATGGAAAGTTACTGTTTAATAGGTGCACAGTTTCAGTTTTGTGTGATGAAAAGAGGTCTATGGATAGATGGCAGTGATAGATGCACAACAAAGTGAAGTAACTTAATACCACTGAATTATACACTTTAAAACAGGTAAGATAGACCTCCATGATGGTGCACACCTGTAATCCCAGCTATTTGGGAGGCTGAGGAAGGAGGATTGCAAGTTCGAGGCAAAGATTAAACTACCTCCAGAAGAAATGCATGAATTTATCCTTCTATGGCAGTGAAAAAGAATATATATATGCTTCAGCTCACAATTTGATAGGCCAAAAATGTGTTAATACTTTATCATCTGTTCCTTTTTTATGTAAAAAATGTAATAAATATTGCATCTTTTCTCTCACCTTTTTTTCAAGAAGAATGAGTTTAAACAGGATTAAGACCTGCAGAAAGGAAAAAAGAAACATTGTATTATAATGAGAAATTCAAGTCTTTTAATCATTTTGTTTCCCTTCCTGAAACACAATCATATATCATTTAATTAATATTAAGTAACTACAGCACTTTAAAAAAAATATATAAAAAACTATGAACTCATACCAAGAAATTAAATATATACCAGTATCTTTTTTGTTTGTTTGATTTTGGTTCCAGGGATTGAGCCCACGGATACTTTACCAGTGAGCTACATCCCCAGACTTTTTATTTTTTATTTTGAGACAGGGTCTCGCTAAGTTACTTGGGGCCTTGTTAAGTTGCTGAGGCTGGCTTTGAACTAGCGATCCTCCTGCCCCAGCCTCCTGAATTGCTGGGATTACAGGTGTGTACCACCAAAACCCAGCTACCTGTATCCTTATAATAAGATAACTACCCATGTTCTCTAAAAATTTGTGAGCGTAACTTAAATCTTCAAATGAAATAATCATTTTTGGAAGGAATGTTGCCATTTTGCTTGAATATGTGTAAGTTTTTAAAGGGCAGGGATTATTCATTTATTTCTGGATGTCATTCAATAAATGGTTAAAAAAATAAATAGGGGATATATACATAATAGTTTTATTTAGCTATTAAGAAGAAAAAAATCTGCTGGAAAATGGGAGGGTACCGAAGAGTACTAGGTTGAGCAAAATAAGACTCAGAAAAACAAAGGTCATATGTTCTCTCTCATACATGAAAGCTAGAAAAAAAAAGTTAAAAAAGGGAACCTCATGAAAATAGAAGGGATATTAGCAGAGTTGAGGAAGGGGTTCAGGAGAAGGAAGAAGGGGAGGGAAAAGGGGAAAGAAATTTATCAAATATTAGCTACTAAGTTACAATGAATCCTGTCACAGGCCAGCCATGGGCTGTGTGTGAACTATGAGTATTTGAGCCCATGGGAGGATTGGCCTGATGTTGCATGCTCTTTGGGCCATGCAACAAACATAGGCACTTTCCTCTCTCTCTGCCTTTTATCCCACAAAGCACCTGAGATGGGTGTGACTTGCCAAGATGTCAATAAATCTACTGACAACAAGACATCATGAATCGAGACTTAACTCCCTGAAACCTGACCCTTTGCCTTATTTGGAAACATTCCATTGAACCTCCCCTTGTGCCCCCTCTATCAAAATAAAAAATTCAGGTGGCTCCCGCTCTTTCCAACGGACCTCTAAGGTTGAGAGCTGTCACTGGACCCAGAGAAAAAGGTATTTTCTCTGTCTTTGTGTGATTATTTTGTGCCAACCCAAATTTACTTGGAGCAACCTGAATGATTTAGTCATGTGTTGTGACAGAATCCCACTTTTATGTATAGTCAAAATAAATCAATAAGAATGAATAAATTTGAAAAAAAAAGTTTGATAAATGAATGACATGTGTATGTCCTAGTCAACATATGCCTTAACAATGAAGATCATAATCCTCACATTCAAAACAAAACAAAAAAGATCAGAAAGGATAAAGATAGATATTTTATTGGAAAATGTTCCATTTTCATGACAACACAAAATATTCTGTAAGATCATAGGGGGTATGGGACAGGAAGGATGGTGGAATGAGATGGACATCATTACCCTAGGCACATACATGATTGTACAAATGGTTCGACTCTACATGTGTACAACCAGAGAATTGAAATATTGTGTTCTATTTGCATATAATGAATTTATATGCATTCTGCCGTCATGAATAACTAAGTAGAACAACAAAAAACTACTCTGCAAGATCAAAACATGTTCTTTTTAGTCTAATGTCATTATAGCTGAAATTACAAAGACAAGAGAAATGCATTATATCATAAGAAGTAAACAGAGTATGCGCTCCTTTAGAAATTTCTGATTCAAGCACTCTTTTCTTGTTAATATTTTTTAGTTGTTGATGGACCTTTATTTTACTTATATGTGGTGCTAAGAATTGAATCCAGGGCCTCAGACATGCTGATCTCCATTTGGGCAGTGCCCACATTACTGATGAGACGTTCATATATTCACAGCTATCCAAGGAGCAAGAAAACATCTGCTCAAAAACAGACAAAAATTATCCTGACGATTAAAAGAATTTGGTTACTGCTAATGCTAGGCAAGTGCTCTACCATTGAGCTACAGCCCCAGTCCTCTGATACAAGCATTCTTGACACTTTCAACTTGGTATAGTTATAAGATGAAACACTATATTAGAAGAACTAAGAGTAATGCCTATCATAAGAGATCTGATACAAGCGTGAAACAATCTCTATTTGATGCAGTACTCTTAAATTTGCCATTAAAATAAACACAGTAAAAACAGTGTCTCCCATTTTAGCACATCATAAATTAAAGAAGGTATCATACCTTGTGTCGAAAATGAAGGACAAGATCTCGAGGAGACAGACCTATAATGTTAACAAAAAAGCTAATCTGTGACTATAGTTCTACTGTTTTTGTTGAAAATTAGGAAGAGAAGGTTAAAAAAGAAACTCAGATAATGCAAATATTCAAATATTTATGTAATATTTGATTCAATACACATATGCTTAGAAACAGGGCTATCCAATAGAACTTTCTGTAAGGATGGAAATGTTTTAGAATGTTTTAAACCTGCTCTGTCCAGTATAGCAGCCACATGTGGTCACTACATACTTGAAATAAGGCAAGTGTGACAGGCAAACTGACTTTGACTTCGGGTACCAGGGATTGAACTCAGGAGAGCTTAACCACTGAGCCATGTCCCCAGCCCTTTCTAAATTTTGATATAGGGTCTTGCTAAGTTGCTTAGGGCTCACTAAATTGCTGAGGCTGGCTTTGAACTTTTGATCCTCCTGCCTCAGCCTTCTGAGCTGCTGGGATTGCAGGCATKCACCACTGTCCCAAGCCTGACAAACTAACTTTTAAATATTATCTAATTTTTATTTATTTTAATCTAAATGTAGATAGCTATACATTGCTAGTGGCTGCTATTGTGGACAGTGCAGGTCTAATATCTTCTTCCATTGTATAAGCAAACTATACAAGTTTAAAATTTATAAAGTTTGAACTAAGTGCAGTGGTTCATGCCTATAATCCAGTGATTTGGAGACTGAGGCAGGAAGATCTCAAGTTCAAGATCAGCCTGGGAAACCTAGTAAGGCTCTGTCTCAAAAAAAAAAAAAAAAGTTGGAGATGTAGCTCAGTGGCAAAGCATCTCTGGGTTCAATCCCCAGTACAAAAATAAATAAATAAAAAAAATTAAACAATGCCTAACAGGATATTTAAGGAAAAAGCAGTATCATACATTGAAGAATTTAGGTCCCACATACAGATGTAATTCTGATCATAAAGTTTTACATGCATTTTAGTTAGCTGAACAAAAAGAAATGAGGGCATTTCTTCTGACTTATAAAAATGTTACTTACCAAGATATACTTGGGATCCTTCTAATGAAGTTCCACTCAAGGAACTATTCATATGGTCATAAAGCTCCTATGAAATAAAAACTGAGTTTAGAATACTTTATTATCATTTTTGACAATGAGTTAGAAATACACTGATCAGAAGATAGTTGGTTTACAAACTGAGACAGCTTATTTTGTCAGGTACTAGATTTAGAACCATCAAGGTCTCTCTGAAATCTTGCCAGTTTTCAACATTCATTCCTTCTTTTTCAGACATGAGCGCTATCATAAGAGATCTTTTTTTTTTTTTTTTTTTTTTTTAAAGAGAGAGTGAGAGAGGAGAGAGAGAGAGAGAGAGAATTTTTTAATATTTGTTTTTTAGTTCTCGGCGGACACAACATCTTTGTTGGTATGTGGTGCTAAGGATCGAACCCGGGCCGCACGCATGCCAGGTGAGCGCGCTACCACTTGAGCCACATCCCCAGCCCCATAAGAGATCTTATACAAGCGTGAAAAAAGCTATCAGATGGGCTGGAGTTGTAGCTCAGTGGTAGAGTGCTTGCCTAGCATAGGCAAGGCCCTGGGTTAGATCCTCAGCCTAAAGATAAATAAAATAAAGGTATTGTGTTCCTCTACAACTTAAAAATAATAATTTAAAAATAGCTATCAGGGTATTACTTCTATTTTAGAGCTTGATTCATTCACATGGTGGTATGAACATTTAGGATGAATTCCCTCTGCTTCCTTGCTAAATTCCTAACTGTCCTACTCTTATCAGTATTTAGGAGAGATCCATCATCTGTATGGTAAATGACAGCCTTGAGAAAAACACGTTATCTGTCTTTAATAAAATATCCTATGGTTTCTCTGGTTTATGAGAATTAGGAACGAGAAGCTTGATATATAAACACACTGTACAGTTTATTAATAAGAAAAGTTATTAAAAGAAACATTTAGTTATTTATAGTCATATTTCCTAAAAAACACAATTTTGTTAAATTAAGTATTTGGGTAGATTCCCAGTACTTCAATGTTTTACTGTAAAGGGATTTTCAAAGAGTGTCTTTCTTAAGCTAATAATTGATTATCCTTCACAGTGTTACTGACAAGATGCATTTAATTCATGAACTCTACCTTCAGTTAAACACATCTAGGCAGGGGCATAAGGTTACCTTTAGAATGGAAATTTGGGAAAAATCCTTCTCTTCGAAATATGCRTGTGTAATGAGTTGAAGTTTTGCTTGAAGTAAGCCATAGAGGGGCTTAATAGAAAAGAGAAATTACCATTAGGTTTATAATAGAAAACAACAAGAACAATAAACAAACCCCTACAACTTTTTAACTTGAACAGAAGAGAGAGATGAAAGTCACTGTCAACTCCATGGCCCTTATTATTTATTCATAGCAGGAAGCTGAGATGTCCCCTATACTTGCTCTTGTACCGCAGGGGAAGGTGTCTAGTGCCCTGGCAGTACAGTGAGTCAGAGTGTGGGCTCAGACAGTGCTTAACTCTGGGCACTCAACCGCTCACACCTGCTTGCTAAGCTGAACGCAGGCATAACAAGACTGTATCTCACACAGTTGTTTAAGGACTAAATAACAGATAAAAACAGTAGAATACTGACATGTAGAAGGCACCCAACATTAGATTTAAAACGCATTCTCACTGTGCAAGCTATATAATTTTTATTTCTTCTATATAAGATCTTCTTTTACTGCATCCATCTTTTTAATCTTCTTTTCTAGATGTTTTGTCATTTGTATGTCCTTTTCTAGGATGCACAGACTGATATATATTCTAATTAGTTAACAACAAGTCATGMTGGAATAGTTTATCCCCAATATTCCTGTTAGTGTATTATTATAACCATATTTTTATATACAGGCTACAATGTACTGCGAACAAACAGACTGAGTGAGCGAGCTCTTCCTATCCATATCTGTTTTAGAGACAGATAAAAATTGGATTTTCACCTTGATTTTTATCAATTCCATGTCATATGAGAATCAGATATTGTTTCTCTGAGATGTCTTTACTTGTAAATGAAAAAAGCAAATATATCAATGTTGTTATAAAGATAATAATGACAATTATATAGGCTACCCTTCTAAATAAATAATACATAAAACTGTATTATGAGATTAGCAACCTACCAATTTTATGATATTGGGGTCTTTTATAATTCCTTTTCCAGCAGACTCTTCTTATCCTATATTTAAAATTATTTTCTTAGAAGAAATATAGAATCTCAAAAATCTTATTAAGGCCCAAAGAATGATTATTATTCAGGGTTTTTTTTAGCTTAGTAATAAAAACCAAAAATACATTATGTCTTGCAAAAACAATTTGCATTATGCAAAGTACACTTAAATTGCCTGTGTGTACATGAAAGTAGACAATTGCAGAAGAAATAATTAAACAAAACCTACATACATTTGGTGACAAGGCTAGTGAAAAAAGTTCAATTTTGATTTAGGTTTACTGTAGAAATGGCTACATTTCTATATGACAATCATATAGCTCTAAGATAACTGATATGATGCAGATATGAATTATTCCCACAAAGGGGATTTTGGGGACTATGTATGTTTAACATGTAGAACTAGAAATTTGACTGTACTGGAAAGGTGCTATTATCCCTTTAGTAATAAACATGATATGGTGGTAAATGATTTAATTAAGAGAGCTATGAAAGCCAAGAAATGTTAGGCATCTTCTTTATAAAAAGTTAAATAATTATACTCTCCCATTTGATCAACTTGTACCCAGAAGAAACATAGTTTTCATGTATTATTATAGTTACAATTTCACTATGTCATTTCCCTTCCTCAAACAAAAATTTTTTTTTTTTTTTTTTTGTACTGAGGATTCAACCCAGGGGCACTGTACCACTGAGTCACATCCCAGTCTTTTTTATTTTAAGATAGGGTCTCACTAATTTGCTGAGGTTGGCCTTGAACTCACAATCCTCTTACCGCCTCAGCCTCCCAAGTAGCTAGGATTACAGGCATGCAACACTATCTCTGACTTTAAAATTTAAAGAGAAATTTAAGTCTAAAAATTTTCACTACAATAGCCATGAACTTCTGTATCATCAATAAAATCTTAGTAATTATATTTTAAATTTTAGTAAAATATTATTTATCCAATATCTTGGGAACTAAACAAAAATGGATAAATGAAACATATCAGCTACCTCATTTTTATCAAGTGCCAGCTTCCAAACTAACAAACTATCAGATTTCCTCCCTTTTACCTATACTTGGGTAGAGGAGCAAATGAAAGTAAAATTGCTGAAAGGTAAAAAGAGAAAATGCAAGAGCATAAATAATAAGCTCTTGACTAATTTTAATAAATTATTGTTCTGATAAATCTCTTCTAATAATGCTTTATTCTCAAATAAATTTGCCATGAATGTTTAACACACACATAAACAAGTTACTTGGTCTCTTACCAGCTTGCTTAGAACACAGACACTTTTCTGAACAGTTTCTCTGGTGACATCTGCTTGCCTTACTTTCAATGCCTATTATAAACAAATAGTCATTATCAGAAATATTTCATAGCAATATTACAAAACATCTTTCAATATGAAAATAGTTATTAAATAGAAGAAATCTCTTATATTTAAATTAAAAAATTATTTGAGAATCTCAGAAAATATTTATTGAATGAATAAATGTCAGCTTAGTCACTTTGCATCAGAAGCTATGACAGGCACTGGGAATATAAGAGAAGGGTTAATTCCTATCCTCAAGCAATGTGTAGGCTGATGGAGATTATGTACAACTCACCACACCCAAATCAACCAATCAATGCAATCCAACCACTACTGATTCTGGTTTTAAAATAGGCCACCCTTTCACAGGATTGTTTCTGGTGACATAGGGCTAGTTTAAGAGATGACAAAAATAGCTTATTTCTCTACAGATGGAAGAATTGTCAGCAATTTTGTTAAGTTAGTTGTTCTGGGAAGCCTGTTCTGGGGTCTGTTCTAGCTGACTTGATTATGGCCCAGCATTAAGCATAACTCATTTCTCAATAATGATAACCATGTAAGAATTCTGTAGTTTTCTGCTGGTAGAAACAAGTCTTGATTTGATCAACTTCAGGTAAAGCTGTGAGGGAAATAAGAGGGACTGTTTGGCTTCTAGGGTGCTGCGTCACTCTTCTTGGATCTGTCCAGAGGATCAAAGGACCTCAAGTGACTGGTGTTTAATCATTACATTGGGTGAAAAGTAGATGTCTTTTTCCTTGAATGGATTCATCTATTATGTCTTACCTTCAAAGGGAATTAAAGTCTTTCTCCTAGGCTCTAAGTCCTTCTGAGATATGGCTTATCTATCCAGTTTCTCAGATGTGGCTTGAAAAACTTAAGAGAAATGGGCAACTCTGATATACTCTGAAATGGATYAATCAGTCTTAAGGGCTGGGGGAGAGAGGTAGTATTTAAAACCCATGCAGGGTATTCGAACTCTAGTTAATGACAACAATGAGGGGTAAGAAGAACTTGGAAGAAATAATTTTAGTAGTATTCACATGACCTACAGAAGACAAGAGGAAATAAAGGGATGGATTTCTGAAATAGGGCAGCAGCTCAATTCATCTCATATTCGTAAGAGTAACAATATATGAAGAAATCAAATGCACAAAGCTACTGGGCTAACTTTTTGTGAGGCAGGCCCAACATGGCTTCCTCACTGACATTTCCGGCTAGATATGCTTTTAGTATGTAGTCCCTGTCATAAACATAATTCAGCRTATGTACTCAAGGTCATAAATATCTGCTTCTGGGCATATACTCACTTATGTAACCTGTTGGCACTGTGCTTTGTTTGGTCTACATATAAAAAAGGTCTATGGAAAGACTCAGGGGGCTGGGGAATACTGTCACTTCTGAATATGCACTATTCCTACTTGCCTCACATCTTCTTGCACCTGCTGGGATCCTGGATCTGCTTCCCAGGGTCTGAGCCTCCTGACACTCTGATTTTCAGGTTAAAGTACACTTGATAATGTGAAGTAATATATTTAGCTTTAGATTCAGTTATTCATTCTACAAACATTATCTGGGTGTGTTCTATATTCCACACCCTGGGTTTGGAGGGTTATTTCATAGTAGTTAACTACTTCAGATATCTTGAAATTTACACCTGTAGTTTACTTATGAATGGTTCAGGAAACAAATTCACACACACACAGATCAGGAGAGGCAGAACATTAAGAACTGCTGAGTCTATGTGGTGGGTATATATGTGTTCACTGCACCATTCTTTTAATTTATCTGCATGTCTGGAATTTTCATTATAAAAATTTAAAAATGTTTACTATTAATTATTCATCTCAGATATCTTTTCAACTTTATAATTGCCCAGGCTCTAGTCCCAGAGATTCTATTTTTTTTTTTTTAAAGCTTCTTTCTTTTTTTTTTTTTTTTTTTTTTAAAGAGAGAGTGAGAGAGGAGAGAGAGAGAGAGAATTTTTAACATTTATTTTTTTGTTCTCGGCGGACACAACATCTTTGTTGGTATGTGGTGCTGAGGATCGAACCCGGGTTGCACGCATGCCAGGCGAGCGCTACCGCTGAGCCACATCTCCAGCCCCCCAGAGATTCTAATTCAGTCAAAGAAACAAACAATGGGCTGGGATTGTGGCTCAGTGGTAGAGCACTTGCCTAGAATGTGTGAGGCACTGGGTTCGATTCTCAGCACTGCATATAAATAGATAAAATAAAGGTCCATTGACAACTAAAAAATATTTAAAAACAACCAACCAACCCCTCCCTTAAAAAAAAAACCCACAAAAAACCCTCCAGGTAATTCTGTTAGAAACCATTGTTTCAGTGCAGTGGTTTTGACACTTGATTACACATTAGAACTACCTGGGGCATCTTTAAAACTCCTGATGCCCAGAACATTAGCTCGAAATCTCTGGGGTTGGACTCAGCCAACTCTGACTTTAAAGTTCTCAGTGATTCCAATTTGTAGCCAAGGCTAAGAACTACACACTACTTTAGAGCATGAATGAGAAGAAAGAGATTTTTATTCATAAAGATTTATTCCTACCACAAAAAATAGTGCATCCTACAAGCGCCATAAAAGTGTGGGGATACCCATCTTAGTTTATTTGAATTGATTAATTAGGGATATTAGTGTAAATTAGGGAGTAAGTTGGCAGGTAGTTTAAGAGTAATCAAAATCTTAGTTATAGATTAACTGTGTGCACTTGGAAACCATTGTTAAGTACATTGCCCTACTAAAATGTTGTTTGAAAAGCACATTATGGTCCATTTTTCGATGTTATATACTGTTAAATAAAACTGTAAGAGGCCACTAATTTGGACTGTGCTCTTATACTAGAGTCAACAGACCAAACCAATAGAGTTTAATCTCAGTTAAATTGGTTGATTGCAGAAGACTCTAGCCAATGAGTAATTTAGAATATAATCAGCTTTACTGGTTTCTATGCCTCCTTCAATTTTTCTAAAAATGCTGTCTACATATGCTGTTGGTTATTATTCTCCAAACCTGCTSTGGTTCTAGGAGCTGCCCAATTTGTGAATTTTTTTTGTTCTTTTTTTTCTTTCARATAAATTATTAAATTTAAATGGGCTAACAATACTGCTATAATTTGGATAAATATTCCCCAAAGGCCCAGGTGTTAAAGACTTAGTCACCAGCCTGTGGTGCAACTGGGAGCTGGTGGAACCTTCACAGCATTTCAAAGACAAATGAATCATTTGGATATTGCTATCTAAAAACAATGTACAGGGCTGGAGATGTGGCTCAAGCGGTAGTGCGCTCGCCTGGCATGCGTGTGGCCTGGGTTCCATCCTCAGCACCACATACAAACAAAGATGTTGTGTCCGCCAAAAATGAAAAAAAAAAAAATTAAAAAATTAAATAAAAAATTAAAAAATGTACAAAATGTACAATTATATAATTATAGGCACCAATGTCAATTTATAAACATATTAATGTGACTAAGTTGGTAATGTTAGAATAGTTATAATTTGCTTATAAAAATCTAAAATGGGGGCTGGGGTTGTGACTCAGTGGTAGAGCGCTCACCTAGCATGACTGAGGCATTGGGTTTGATTCTCAGCACAACATAAAAGAAATAAAGATATTGTGTCCATCTAAAACTAAAAAATATTTTTTAAAAAAATCTAAAATGAACTTGGGTGTGATGGCACATGCCTGTAATCCYAGCTACATGGGAGGCTGAGGCAGGATGATCACAAGTTCAAAGGCACTTGGGCAAGTGCCTTTAAAAGGTCTTTTAAAGCAAGACCTTGCTTTAAAAAGGGCTGGGGGTGTAGTTAAGTAGTAGAGTGCTTGCCTAGCCTATGGTAGCCCTAGGTTCAATCACTAGTAGCACAAAACAAAAATAAAACCAAAAAATCAGTGAAAATCTAAAATGACATCACAGGCACCACATGAAAAATAAAGATGTGTTTCCTTCACTAATAACACTTAAGAAAGGAGTTGGGAGTTTTTTTTTCCTATTGTTGCTCACCATTAACTATCATACCTTGGCTTCAATTTGTCGATAGCAAGAAATACCATAAACGGTGGCTCCATTTCCATTTCTGGGTGGCAAGTGAAAAAACACAGTATCTAAGAGATACATGGAAAAAATGTAAATAACAAGGCAAATCACCCTTATTAATAAGTATAAAAATTTGAAGTTATCATAATGTAGTTATGTTATTAGTATAACATGCAAATGAAGATGTATGAAGGAACCATGTCATACTTATTTTCAGCATCACAATCACTGGTTTCTTGAAATTTATCTCAATGCCTTATAGTATAYGCTCATCACAAAAAACACAAGAGGCTGAATTAGAACAGGTCAAACAGTACAGTTACAGAATGTACACAGAATGTACTTTATATAAAGAGAACTGGTCCAGACTAAAACAAAGTAGAGTCATAAAAACCAATGGGCAACACTGAATCTTGAATCAACTAAGAAATTTGGGGAACAGCTAGGGAAACTGGAACCCAAACTGCATGTTACATAGTATTACTGTTAAATCTCTTAGCTGTGATAATGGTATTAGAAGTTATGCTGGGGGATGATCTTATTCTCTGGAGATGCCTACTTAAGTATTAAAGGTGAAGTGTCTGTCATTGTCTCCAGCTGATTTTAAAATAGTACAGAAAAAAACTGTTCACATACACAAATACAAAAAAAATTTGCAGAATATTCACTGTAATCTTAACTTTTCTGTGTTTGAAACTTTAATAATATAAAGTTATGTAGAAAAAGGATCTCTGAAGTTACAAATCCTATGTTTAAATCCTATGCTTAACTGTAAGTAACAACTGATTCATTCTGTAAGGAAATTATTAAATACTATATTAAGAAAACAGGTAATCAAGTTTAATCTGGTATTTTCCTGCATCTTTAACACCATAGTAAAATATGGTGTAGGAGACTCAGTAAGAACTTCAAACTACTACTTTCTTTGAAGGTGTGAACATGCTCTGCATGTGAGCAAGCAGAGACTCGTGACAGCTCCAGAGCTGGAGAAACCATCTCAGGTGTTCGCAGGTGGGCGGGCACTGGAGTAATAAGCTAGTAAGTCTGAAGCTACAGACTCAAATAGTGTTCAGCTAACTTTCTTCTTTTGTCTCTGAGAGGAGTCAAAATAAAGTATAATTATAGGGAATGCTTTCTAGTAGCAGCTGTCCTGCTTTGCTAATCACTTTTGTCAGGGCTCCTGGTAAGGATCACAGGCCATGGCCCATGTAAGTTCAGCACTCTCTGGACATTCTCTTCTCTAGTGCTTGACTAGTCATCTCCAAATTACATATAAATATTTTATAAATAACTACAACAGGTCAAAAGACTCATTCACCACAGCATTTAAAAAAAAAAAAAAAACTAGCACCTACTAAAAAAATAAGTAAAAATAGGACCTACTAATTTCTCCACTGTCTTCTCACATACCTTCCTGGTAATTGTGTGCACCATCTGGTAAGGCAAGGAAGGGCAAATATTTCCATTCTTCAGGCAAAGTGTGGCTGTCATGTCCATCTCCTGGAATCAGGGGTGGGTAYGAGAATTCAACCTACAACAGTAAGGAATGTTAGCTAAAAGGTGGTTGATCAAAAGAAGCATCTTATCCTGACAGGCAAAAACACTTTTAAACCCCAAAGGACACTAGTTGGGGTAAGCCACATTCACTGATGTTATCAGCAATCCTATGACATAGAAGAGTAAAAAAGAAGGAAAGATTTGTAAGCCTTTTCTGATTGAAGGGCACCAGTTGGAACTCAACATGCTGTCTATTCATAAAAAATGTTATAAATAAAAGTGTGGACACTACATATAGTCCAAGAATTCTGAGTAAAATTAAGGCTGTTGTAGGCTGACTTAGACCTAGAGTGTTTACAACATGGTTTCTTTGAGAAGCGTGTTCAGAATTTTAAACAGCCAGCTTTAGAACACAACTCATTCATAAATTGTAGTCTGCCTACACTGTGTTGGCAGTGTTCTAGAATTCTTGTGGCCTGATGGTAGATTTACTATCAACCTGCTAGTTGAGTTCAAAACAGTTAATGGAAACTCACTTCTATTTCTATATGTACACAAAACAATTAAAAACAATCATAATGGCCACACAGTATCATTTCATTAGTCAATATTCTATCATTTTTTTTTTTTGTACTAGGGATTGAACCCAAGGGTATTTAACCAATGAGCCACATTCCCAGCCCTTTTTTGTATTTTATTTAGAGACAGGGTCTTGTTAACTTGTTGAGGATGGTTTTGAACTTGCAATCCTCCTGCCTTAGCCTCCAGAGCTGCTGGGATCACAGGCATGCACATCATGCCCAGCTATTCTCTGGGTTTTTAAAAATATCATTATATCAATTAATAAAGAAGGTGATCTCAAAGAATTTTAAATTTTAAAATTATAAGCTTCAATAGTGTTTAAGTGTGATAATAAAATATATTTGATATATTTATATATTAATATTTCACATATTAATATATTTAAGCAAATATATTAAAATATTTAGCCAGGCATGGTGGCTCACACCTAGAATCCCAGCACTTTGGGAGGCTGAGGTAGGAGGATCACAAGTTCAAAGCCTCAGTAACTTAGTGAGACTTTATCTCAAAATAAAATATACAAAAGGGCAGGGGATATGACTCAGTGGGTAAGCACTTCCTGGGTTCCATTCCAGGTACCACAATAAATAAATAAAATAAAATATTTAAATATGTAATAAATATATAATTATATACTATATGTTAATCAATCAATCAATCAATCAATCAATCAAGTCTTTGTGTCTGGTTCCTAGAACAAAACTCCTAAAATACTTGGCTTTTCCTGGAAGATGAGGGCCTTTCATAATGTATAATAAATGCCAATCAACCATACCTAAGTTTATGCTAGGATGTGGGAAGGTCATCAGAAACACCAAATTTTGATAAGAAAGATGAAATTTTAAGGTGCATCCCTTGACCTCTGGTGAGTGGAAAGAGGCTAGAGACTGATTTCAGTCACCAATGGCCAATGTGTTAATCAATCATGCCTATGTAACAAAATCTTTATATTCCTAAACAATAGGGTTCAGAGAGCTCCCAGGTTAAGAATAGCAAAGTGAAGTGAGAGTGGCATGCTGGAGAGGGCATGGATGCTTCATGCCCTTCGAGCATGTGTGTGTGTGTGTGTATGTATGTTACTGGGGATTGAACTCAGAGGTACTCTACAACTGAGCTACATCCCCAGCCCTTTTTATTTTTTATTCTTATGTCAGGGTCTTGCTAAATTGTAGAGGGTGACCTTGAACTACCTTGAATTTGTAATCCTCTTGTCTTAGTCTCAGGATCACAGGACAAGTGCTATGCATTTCTTTATCTCAGTTGAAGGTCATCCCCACTGTCCTCTGAATTTGAAACCAGTCAGAATTATAGGTGGCCTGAGGACCCTGGATTTGTAACTGGTATCTGAATTGAGAGCAATCCTGGGGAACTGAGACCTTAAGCCTGTATAGTTTGATGCTGAGTAGTTAATGTCAGAATAGGATTAAATTATAAGAATCTGGTGAACTAAAAAAAAATTATAAGAATCTGAGATCAAACATCAAAAAATAATCAGCGATTTCCAAACTGATGGCTTCTTTAAATCTTAAATTGTATATTTTTCATATTTTGAATACTAATCACTCTATATGTCCCCTTTCTATATGTTCAAATAAACCCAGGCAGATGCATAATTCCATGACACAGAAGCTTAATAGGAATTCTCTTGGAAGTTACCTTAAATTTTAAATATACTCAGTTGAATCAAAATGCAATTTAAACAATAATGCTAATTAAATCAACCACTGCCACAGAGAGTCAAGGTAGTAATGGTAGTCCGCCTCACTGCCTACTTCTAGGGGGAAATCATGATCACCATAGTTTATACAAATGGCTCTCCATGTAACAATTTGTGTTACAGAGTCTACACAACTATACATGGCAGCCCTCCATATATATGAAAAATATAGACAAAAACCAACATTAAACTCTGTAGAGATTAAGAAACATCTAGACTATTATCCAAAATTAGGTAGCATAAGTTCATAGTCCAAAATCTAAATCAAATTTGGGGATCAAAGATGTTACCTGAGGGCTGGGGTTGTAGTTCAGTAGTACAGCAATTGTCTAGCATGTGTGAGGCACTGGATTCAACTCTAAGCAYCACATATAAATAAATAAAATAAAAGTCCATTGACAACTAGAAAAAATATTTTAAAGTTGCTCTCTGGGGCTGGAGTTGTGGCTCAGTGGTGGAGTGCTCGCCTTGCATGTGTGAGGTGCTGGGTTCGATCCTTAGCACCATATATAAATAAATAAGTAAAATAAAGGTATTGTGTCCTCCTACAACTAAAAACAATTTTAAAATGCTGTCTGATAACACACACCAATGTGAAAGAGGAATGAATGCCCCCACAATTAGAACAATAATGTTATTAAATCAAGCAAACTTCAAATATCTCTCTCTATTTATATAACCAATATTCATGTAGCAAGTCTACCTTGATTCCAATCATTTTACAAATTCACATGATTACAAACTGAGAAGAGGAGGGAAAAAGAAGACAATGGCTGACTTCTAAAAAATGAAAGCTGAATAAAGATGCTATAATCACCAAGAATAAAAAGGCAATTTTTGCTAGGCGTGGTGGCTCACACCTGTAATCCCAGCAGCTCAGGAAACTGAGGCAGGATGATCAAGAGTTCAAAGCCAGTCTCAGCAAGGGCGAGGCTCTAAGCAACTCAGTGAGACCCTGTCTCTAAATAAAATATAAAATAGGGCTAGGGATGTAGCTCAGTGATCAAGTGCCCCTGAGTTCAATCCCAGGTACCCCTCTCCCCAAAAAGCATTTTTTTAAAAAAATGTCAAATGAACTATGCAATAAAGGGTGACCTACATTTGTCCTCCAGGAATGGTAAAAATCACCACATAACCCTTTTCATAGTTTATACATCAAGTCAGCAGACATTTACTTTGTTCTCTGAAAATAATGTTGAGAAAACAAACAAAGACTACAAAATAAAAACAATAGCATAGTACCCTAGTGTGAACTTTGAGTACTTCAGCAGTACCCTTTGTTCACTTTTTAACAATGTAATATCCATTCCACTCTCAAAATCACACAATAGAAGCCACACAAATTAAATCCATCCATTTAAACACGGATACACCATGGCTTACTGAGGAAAGGGCTTCCCAGTTAATTCTACTGCTGCTCTACCTCTTTGCTCCCTTCCTAGGCACAGCAAAAATGTTATTGCCTGTCACTCAGAAGTAAAAGTGTTTCCTTTCTTAATAGACATTAACAGTTTAGGCACCAAAGTCAAGGCTTTGCCTTGTTTTCCACTGAACAAAAAAATGATGTAGTAGATGTAGTAGAGTACTTGCCTAACATTTGTGAAGCCCTGGGTCCAATCCCCAGCACCACAAAAACAAAACAATACTATGTTTTTATTTTTAAGATTAGGTCTAAAAAATATAGTCCTGGAAGTCAAAAACATGTTTTCATTCAGTTATGTTCTCTTCCAAAGCTTTTGAAAAGTCAATACTATAAAAATAATTATAAAAATAATTGGCATTTTTTCCTCTTCACAGTTGACAAGAAATCACTGTATTTGTCAATGGTTGATTTTTAAGACAACTTGTGCTTAACAATCCTATATCTCAGCATGATGTAGTATTTCATAGATTCATGAATGCCCGAGAGGCCCAGAAAAATGTAGTGTATACTATAGAAGTAAAATGGTACTACTGAGACATACCAGTCAAAAGAAGTTTGTTTCTAGATTAATGCAAACAAAAATCTTAAAGCATTTGCTTTTATGGGTTTAAGTATTTTAAATAAAAGGCTGCTACTACTATTTTTCCCCCAAGAATTAAATAGTCATTTTACTATTCTATATTTTTTAAGATGGAGTACTTACTTGGATTTTCACCAGGAAGATAGATGATATGCATTTCACATCTCTCCTGCCTTTTTGCATTTTAATTTAAATGTAAGAAATTTATTTTTTATATAATTGTAAATCCTACTACAGTGAAACCAGAATCACATCAAGACTATATTACATAAAATATGGCATTTTATTTTATTTTAAATTATTTTTTTAGTTATAGATGAATGCAATGCTTTATTTTGTTTATTTATTTTTATGTGGTGCTGAGGAGCAAACCCAGTGCCTCACATGTGCGAGGCAAGCGCTCTGCCACTGAGCCACAACCCCAGCCCAAATATGGCATTTTAACTATATAATATGAAGGATGTAATTATATAATATGAAGGAGGCAGGCTTTCATACTAAAGTTTCTTGAGGCACCAAAATTAAGAACTCATCATTCTGTTTTCTATTTTAAATCACTGGAACTTTACAAAAGTATATATGTTCATTAAAATGAAAGAGTACATATACACAGTCAATTAAAATACACCTTTATAGTATAATGCTCCTTAAAAGAAATATTTCTTCTAGGAAGAAAAAATCTTGTAAGTATTTGTCTCAATTAATGTTAACAGTAAATATATACAAATCTCT